CAGAAGACTGGCAGTTCAAACCCACCAGCCACTCCTTGGAAGGAAGGTTGGGTAATCTACTTCCATAGTGATACTGCCTCGGAAACCCAAGGAGGGGTGGCTATGAGTCAGACCTGACTCAATGACAGTGAGTTTGGTGATGCAACAGAATGTGAAAATTATTGAACAATATTATTAATATCACACACAAGTAAAGTTTTGCTGAAGATAATTAAAAATGGTTGCAGCAGTATATTGACAGGGATCTTCCAGAAATGCAAGCTGGATTCAGATGAGGACATGGAACAAGGGTTATCATTGCTGATGTCAGGTGGATCTTGGATGAAAGCAAAGAATGTTTACCCATGTTTTATTGGCTATGCAAAAGCATTTGACTGTCTGATCATAACAAATTATGGATCACATTGAGAAGAATGAGAATTCCAGAACACTTAATTATGCTCATGAGGAAACTGTATATAGGCAAGGAGGCTGTCGTTTGAACAGAACAAGGAGATACTGCATGGTTTAAAATCAGGAAGAGAGTGTGTCAGGGTTGTATCCTTTCACCATACTTATTCAATCTGTATGCTGAGCAAATAATCCGAGAAGCTAGGCTAGATGAAGAAGAATGTGGCATCAAGATTGGAGGAAGAATCATTAACAGCCTGCAATATGCAGGTGACACAACCTTGCTTGCTGAAAGTGAAGAGGACTTGAAGCACTTACTGATGAAGATTAAAGACTACAGTCTGTGGTATGGATTACATCTCCACATAAAGAAAACAAAAATCCTCACAACTGGACCAGTAAGCAGCATCACAATAAATGGAGAAAAGAATGAAGTTGTCAAAGATTTCATATTACTTGGTTCCACAATCAACACCCATGGAAGCAGCAGTCAAGAAATCAGTCATATTGCACTGGGCAAAGACTTCTTTGAAGTGTTAAGAAGCAAAGATGTCACTTTGAAGACTAAGGTGTGCCTAACCCAAGCCATTGTATTTTCAGTTTCCTCATATGCATGTGAAAGCTGGACAATGAATAAGGAAGACTGAAGAAGAGATGATGCCTTTGAATTATGGTGCTGGCAAAGAATACTAAAAATACCACAGACTGCTAGAAGACTGAACAAATCTGTCCTGGAAGAAGTGCAGCCTGATGCATGGCAACAATTAGTCCAAGGAACTGGTAGACCATGTGATCCTCAGCCTATATGATCATGGGACCAGAAGAACTAGATGGTGCCTGGCTACCACTGTCAACCACTTGGAGGAGAATCTGTGTAGGAGATCCTGGATAGAGTGGGAGAACAGAGAACAATGTGGAACAAAACTCAAAATTATATATATATATATAAACAGGTGTGCTGGTCTGATAGAGTCTAGTGAAATGCCTGAGACTATTACCCCTTGCGGTCTGGAATTGAACTCACTCCTGTAGCTTCCAGCCAAATAAAAGATCAGTATATGGCTGAACATTTACATCAGGTAGATACACTCCTTGGAGAGATCAATCATGGGAGAATAGAGGGCAGTGTATGCACAGGGAGACCGCTTGGGGGACAGGTGTGCATGGGAGGGAAGGACACAGGGAAGAGATAACTATGGGGAGGAAGTGGGAATAGAGCTGTCACATTGTGGGAAATTTCTGACAAAATGTGTATGAACTGCTGTATAGAAAATGAATTTGCTCAGTAAACTTTCACCCAAATCACAATAAAAAGAAAAAAAGTGCAGCCTGAATGCTCCTTGGAAGTGAGAATGGTCAGACTTCTTCTTCACCACTTTGGTCATGTTGTCAGAAGGGACCATTCCCTGGGGAAGAATATCACTCTTGGTAAAGTGGAGGGTCAGTGAAAAAGGGGAAGATCCTCAATGAAATGGATTGACAGCGGCTACAATGATGGGCTCAGGCATAGCAAAGACTTTGAGGCTGGCACAAGACCAGGCAGTGTTTTGTTCTGTTGCACACAGGGTCACTGTGAGTTGGAGCCAACCCAATGGCACCTAACAACAACAACAACAACCTTGTCATCTGCTGGGAGACACAAAGACTGTGACTAGAAGAACCATATTAAGTAATTCACTCTATCACAGGCCACCTGCTGGCTCTTACAGTCATGGCCCTTTCATAATTGAAAGACTAACTTCCTCTTCCCAATCATTTTAAGTATAAGCACACCCATGAAAGGACATAAGCAGCCAGCCACTTCATGCCTCTATCTCCCCCTATTTTAGACAGCCAATTTCTAAACTGCCCATCCCTCTCAAACCAGTACTCTGAGGAGACAAGCATATCCCTTTCTATGAAGAATCTTCTGTTCTGTTAGGAAATTTGAGCATCTGCATCCCTAAGCCAAGACCAGTAAGAGCAAGCCATCAAATTGCAGTAATTTACACCAGTGCACAGTGTCAAACATCTTTCTCTTCATTTAGTAGGGTTCTGGTAAGCTCATTCCTAGTCATCCAAGCTAGGTCAGTGGGTACCAGCTGCAAGCTTGGGAGTTCATACACCTCCCTGTACTTCAGACCAGCCAGCCCCTTCTCTCTCTCTCTCTCATCCTTAGCCCACATGGGCTAGGTCAGTGACCATAGGCTCAGAAGTCCACACAGCTCCCTGCACAGTAGGCTAGCCAATCCTTCCTCTCTCACCTCTAGCCTCTGTGGGCTAGGTCAACAGGTGCCACACTCAGCCCATTTCTTCATTGCTCTACCCTCCTCACTTCCACTCATCAAGTGGACCTAGGAGGTCACAACAAGAGAGTAAACAAGGCTATCTACTGGCCAGCTCCTTTAACTTACAGTCCTGGAAGGGATCCTTTTGATGGGCATCTGATTTTTTCTTGTCTACATGCACCCAAAGACAAACTATGAATTCAGAAAGCAAAACAATCACCCCATACACAGGCCCTTCCTTTAAATGCAAATATCCTGTTCTCTTAGCAGTTCTGGGTGGGTCTGCATGTCTTTTCAAAGGTACATTTCCTGGGTGGGGCTCAGATTTTCAACCTAAGCTCCCAATACTCTATACACAGGGCTACAGCCTTGGGTGAAAAAAAAAGCCTGTATTTCTTCTGGGCAAATTTTAGTTCCCCTTTTACAATGTCTTATCAAGTATTGGCTGAAGGCAGAGTTACACAATCTCTGTTACTCATTGCCATTGAGTCAGATCTGATTCATAGTGACTGCTCCTTGGGTTTCCCAGGCAGTATCACTATGGAAGTAGAGTGCCCAATCTTCCACTTTCAAGGAGTAGCTGGTGGGTTTGAACAACCAGCCTTCTAGTTAGCAGTCAAATGTCTTAGGCACTATGCCACCAGAACTCCCACAATCTCTGTTATCTATACTCAATATCCATTTCTATCATTCAATTAGGTAAGAGAAAATTCAATATCCATAGTACATTTAGATCATACATAACCTCAATACATAACCAATCATTTTTAAAATATTCCAGTTTCTTCTCTCCACACCTTGACTATCTTCCCATTCGTATATATATGGCCTCAGGTCTCTGTTTGGGTGGAACCAGTAGACCCTGGCCCCCTATCAATCATCTCCTTTAATCAGCCTGGCTCTTGCCCCAAGCTACTCTAGGTGTAGCTTTTCTCCCCTCAGCTGCAGCACAACATCTCTTACATTCCTTTCAGCCATTACGGGTAACAACAACCAAAGTTACAAAGTCCCATGCTTCCATAAGTCGGGAGTCATTACAACAAATCTCACTTCTGACACCATCCACAAAAAGGGCTTGGGGGCTATGTCATCCTTTAACTTCATGAGAAGGAGAGAAAATCACCATCAGCAGCCCAAAGCTGATTCTTGTGAGGCAGAGATCAGACATGTTGCTACCCTCCAACCTTTTTACCAATTCTGACACTAACTGTCCCTCCAACAGCACTCTCTACTTCTTTACCAGGTTCAATAATTCATTGTAATGGCCACATGGGACTCTTAGCCAATACTCACAAATATGGGGTTTATTAGAGAAGTAATGGGTTACAACTCAAGATCAGAAATGACTCAGGATACAGTTCTTCAATCGGGATAGCTTCTTCTCAGCAGTGTCACAGGCAAGCTTCTCTCTGGCCTTGGCCTCTGCCCTGCTCAGGCCAGTGTTACAAAGCTCTTTTAGCTCTGCAGATAGATGCCCAGAGAGGCACCCCACTCTGCCAGCAAGCCTCCTGCCTGAAGCACTCAGTTTTCTTGCTCTGTGGGCTGGAAGCCTGCTGCTCTGCCTCATGTTGGTCTCTTGGTGCTGCCGTCATCTCTCTGCTGTCTCTCTCTGCTGTTGTCTCAGCACAGGGGCCTTGGATACAAGAACACACTCCACTCGAATTCTTCTTTCTTGATGGCAGTGAGATCCTCCCTTCCTGGCTCTGAGTAGGCTCGTTTTAAGCCTAATGGGATGGCAAAACTGACCAATCCCCATGTTAGGGTTCCATACACTTTCTTTGCATGGTACACCCCCACAAGGGTGCCATATACCTTATTTACATTATTAGCAAGCTATCAAATCCCCTTGGTGGGCCACAAACACTTCATATTTTCATAGTTCCATCCAGTCATCTTATGAGAGTCAAAAATACAATGGCTAGAAAAGCCATATTAAATAATCCAATGTACCAAAGGACCATGGAATTTATGTTAATGGTGGTGGAATATTTTGGAAAAGGATAGAGGTAATGGTAGCACAACATGAAAATGACATCACTGTCAGTGAACTGTCAATTGGGAGTTGAATTGGCAAATGTTTGTCAAGTATATTTTTATCACTCTGTGTGTGTGTGTGTGTGTGTGTGTGAAGAAGATGGAGCAATAAATGCCTACAGAGAGCATCAGGTAGAGAAGTATGGCTAAACCCCTCATCTACTGTGGACTCGAGTCTTTGTTTTCTCATCTATAAAATGATAACAGGTTATACTAAAGTAATACCCATCACGCAGGGCTGATGTAAGGGCTTTGTAAGCAGTAGAGGGCTGAGCTTTTGGAAATTCCTTCTGTCATTTTTATTTCCAGATCTGTTCACAAGTGCCCACAAGGACTGCCCCATGCCCCAGGGCACAGACCCCCTGAACCCAGACCTGCCTTCCAGCCACCCACCCACCGTTGCTCCAGACCATGTCATTGGCAAGGTAACTCTTCCTCCCTTCCTTCCCCCAGCCTGTGCCCTGGTTCCTGGCCTGTCCCCTGCAGCTCCCCATCAGGGGCAGAAATCTTCCCGATTTCTTTCCCTCCCTGCTAAACTTGCTACTTACTGTGGGGTCAGAAACCCTAAGGCTGAACAGGGGTTTGAATTGTGCTGGGCATCCAGGACTGGACCAGGCTTGTTTAGAAAAGAGTCCTGCCTTAAAAGTCTTCTCCCTTCAAATTAACTCAGCCTTGCAGATAACAAGTTCTGATAAGAGCCCACAACTCCTTAGCAGCTTGTGTTGCTCACTGGAATGCTAGTAGCTCCAAATCCTGGTGCATAATTGCCACCCTTGCCCTACAGGTTGTGGCTTGAACCTACCAGTGCATATAATTGTCCCCCTGTCTTTTTCAAGCATATACTACATGGTAAACATTGTGCTAGGAATTTTGCCAACGTTATGTTATTTATTGTTTTCCAAGTAAGGACTTACCCTTCAGGTAAGTGGCATTGTTCCCATTTTACAGCAGAAACAGGTTCTGAGATGTTAAATCACTAGTCTAAAGATACCCAGCTAGGAAATGGCAGAGTTAAAACTCAAACCCAGGTCTGATCCAGCCCGTGCACCCGCTGGCAGACTTGGCAGTGCCACCATTGCCTTCTCCCTCCTTCTTTCCCTGCATGGGACACTGGAGCATGACCTACGAGTGGGGCACCAGAGACTGACCCACATCACCACCCAGGACTTTAGAACTGTGCCATCTGCTGGCCCAGGGTGATGGGTCCTGCCTGATCTTCTTTCTTCTTTTGTTTTAGGACAAACAGATGGACTTCTGTTGGGATCCTTGGCAGGTCAGTGGACTTGCCTGTGCCCCACCTATCCAGCCATAGCTGACACCATTGCCCCTCCCTCTGCTGTGCCCAGCCTGGGCATGCACTCCTGCCAACACTGGGGGAGGGGAGCTGATGAAGACAGTGGGGTGGGGGTGGTCCTGTGGGAGTTGCTAGGGTCTCCCTTTACCTGCTCTGTCCCTGCCCACTGTCAAGGGACCTGGGTGGGCTGGATAAGGGAGGTGATATGGTTAGGGGAATGAAACCTGGCAGGTCTGCCCCATCCTCTCACCTCTCCTCCTCTTCCTACAGAGGTGCTTCCAGACCACCAACGGCTACCTGTCTGACTCCAGATCCTGCTCCAGCAACTACAATGTGGCAGCCTTGGCCACCTCGTCCCTTGTGGGTAGGTTGCAGCTGCTCTTTCTTGCCCTTGGAGATGACTGGTACATCCTTACACACTGGGGGCAATGGTGGTTCAGTGATAGAATTTACGTCTTCCAGGGAGGAGACCAGCACTCATCTGTTAGTTTGTTGTCCTGTGGTGGCTGTGTGTTGCTGTGAGGCTGGAGGCTATGCCACCAGTGCTTCAAATACCTGCAGGGTCACCCACGGTGGATAGGTTTCAGTGGAGCTTCCAGACTAAGGCAGACTCGGAAGAAGGAAGGGGCCATCCATTTCTCATAGAGTTGGCCAGTGAAAACCTTACAAATAGCAATGAAACATTGTCTGATATATTACTGGAAAACTTCATGAATAGCCCTGAAACATTGTCCAGTATAGTGCCGGAAGATGAGTCCATCAGGTTGGAAGGCACTCAAAATAAGACTGGGGAAGTGCTGCATCCTCAAAGTAGAGCTGACCTTAATGATGTGGATGGAGAAAAGCTTTCAGACCTCTATTTGCTGATGTGGCATGGCTCAAAATGGGAAGAAACAGCTGTAAATATCCATTAAAAATTGGAACATGGAATGTACGAAGCATGAATCTAGGAAAATTGCAAGTTGTCAAAAATAGAATACATAAAGATCAATATCCTAGGCATTAGTGAGATGAAATGGACTGGTTTTGGCCATTTTGAATCAGACAACCATATGATCTACTATGCTGGGAATGACAAATTGAAGAGGAATGGCATGGCATTCATCATCACAAAGAATATATCAAGATTTGTCCTGAAGTACAGTGCTGTCAGTGATAGGATAATATCCATATGCGGAAGACCAGTTAATACTACTATTATTCAAATTTACACACCAACCACAAAAACCAAAGACAAGGAAATTGAAGATTTTTTACCAACTTCTGCAGTCTGAAATTGACCGAACATGTAATCAAGATGGGTTGATTATTACTGGTGATTGGAATGCAAAAGTTAGAAAGAAAGAAGAATCACAAGTAGTTGGAAAATATGTCCTTGGTGATAGAAATGATACCAGAGATTGCATAAGAGAATTATTCATTGCAAATACTTTTTTTCAATGATACAAACGGCAGCTATACATGTGGACTCTGCCAGATGAAATATGCAGGAATCTGATTGACTACATCTGTGGAAAAAGGTGATGGAGGAGTTCAATATCTTCAGCAAAAATGGGGCCAGGAGCTGACTGTGGAACAGACCATCAACTATTCACACGCAAGTTCAAGTTGAAGCTGAAGACAATTAAAACAAGTCCACGAGAGCCAAAATATGACCTTGATTAAATCCCGCCTGAATTTAGAGACCATCTAAAGAATAGATTTGACATATTAAACACCAATGACTGAAAACCAGATGAATTGTGGGATGACATCAAGAACATTATACATAAAGAAAGCAAAAGGTCATTAAAGGGACAAAAAGGAAGAAAAGACCAAAATGAATGTCAGAAGAAACTCTGAAACTTGCTCTTGAATGTAGGGTAGCTAAAGTGAATGGAAGAAATGACAAGATGAAAGAGCTGAACAGAAGATTTCAAAGAGCAGCTTGAGAAGACAAAGCCAATTACTATAATGAAATGTGCAAAGACCTGGAGTTAGAAAACCTAAAGAGAAGAACACATGCAGCATTTCTCAAGCTGAAAGAACTGAAGAAAAAAAATTCAAGCCTTGAGTAGCAATACTGAAAGATTCTATGGGCAAAATACTGACTGAAGCAGGAAACATCAAAAGAAGATGGAAGGAATACACAGAGTCACGGTACCAAAAAGAACTGGTCAATGTTCATCCATTTCAGAAGGTGCCATATGATCAAGAACCAATGGTATTGAAGGAAGAACTTGAAACTGCACTGAAGGAATTAGCGAAAAATGAGGCTCCAGGAACTGACAGGATACCCATTGAAATGTTTCAACAAACAGATGCTGTGCTGGAGGCACATCCTCATCTATGCCAAGTAATTTGGAAGACAGCTACCTGATTGGAAGAGATCCATATTTGTGCTTATTCCAAAAAAGGTGATGCAACAGAATGTGGAAATCATTGAACAATATTAGTGATATGACATACAAGTAAAATTTTGCTGAAGATAAGGGAAAATGGTTGCAGCAGTATATTGACAGGGATCTTCCAGAAATGCAAGCTGGATTCAGAAGATGTGGAACGAGAGATATCATTGCTGATATCAGATGGAACTTGGATGAAAGCAAAGAATACCAGAAAGATGTTTACCTGTGTTTTATTGGCTATACAAAAGCATTTGACTGTGTGATCACAACAAATTATGGATCACATTGAGAAGAATGGGAATTCCAGAACACTTAATTGTGCTCATGAGGAACCTGTACATAGACCAGGAGACTGTTATTCTAACAGAATAAGGGGATACTGTATGGTTTAAAAGTAGTGAGGGTGCATGTCAGGTTTGTATCCTTTCACCATACTTACTCAGTATGTATGCTGAGCAAATAATCTGAGAAGCTGGACTATATGAAGGGGAATGCAGCATAAGGATTGGAGGAAGACTCATTGACCACCTGCAATATGCAGACAACACCTTACTTGCTGAAAGTGAAGAGGACTTAAAGCACTTACCGATGAAGATTAAAGACTACAGTTTGCAGTATGGATTACACCTCAACATGAAGAAAACAAAAATCCTCACAATTGAACCAATCAACAACATCACAATAAATGGAGAAAAGAATGAAGTTGTCAAAGATATCACTTGGTTCCACAGTCAACACCAATGGAAGCAGCAGTCAAGACATCAGACATCATACGTTGTTGTTGTTGTTGTTATGTGCCGTCGAGTCATACCTGACTCATAGCGACCCCTCCTTGGGTTTCCGAGGCAGTATCACTACGGAAGTAGGATCATATAGTACTGGGAAAATCTGCTGCAAAAGATCTCTTTAAAGTGCTGAAGAGCAAAGATGTCTCTTTAAAGGCTAAGGTGCGCCTAACCCAAGCCATGGTATTTTCACTTGCCTCATTTGCATGTGAGAGCTGGACAATGAGTAAGGAAGACTGAAGAGTTGATGCTTTTGAGTTGTGGTGTTGGCAAAAAATACTGAAAGTACTGTGGATTGCCAGAGGAACGAACAAAGCTGTCCTGGAAGAAATGCAGCTGGAATGCTCCTTGGAGGCGAGAATGACCAGACTTTATCTCACCTACTTTGGTCATGTTGTCAGAAGGGACCACTCCCTGGAAAATGCTTGGTAAAGTAGAGGATCAACAAAAAAAGGGAAGGCCCTCACCAAGATGGATGAACACAGTGGCTGCAACGATGGGCTCAGTTATAGCAAAAATTGTGAGGCTGGTGCAGGACTGGGCAGCGTTTCCTTCTGTTGTACACGGGGTCGCTGTGAGAGTGAGCTGACTCGAGAGCACCTAACAACAACATGCTGGAGGTGTAAGTGTGATTCCCGGCCGAGGCACCTCAAGCACAGCCCCCATCCATCTGTCAGGGGAGGCGTGCATGTTGCTATGATGCTGAACAGGTTTTAGTGGACTTTTCAGGCTGAGAAGGACTAGAAAGAGAGGCCTGGTGATAAGCTTCTGAAAATCCTATGGAACATAGTGGTCCAAAATGTCACCACCCACCGTGAGGATGGCGCAGGCAGCATGTAGTTCTGTTATGCTTGAGGCAGGCAGGTGTCACGGGTGACTGGATGGCGGCCCAGCCACACCCCTTAGGCACTAGCTGTGGGAGGGACGCTGGATTGCAGCTGGAGGATTGCAGCCCTGTTGGACCCAACATTCCCTAACTCCAGGCTCCAAGCTGGGTCTGGGGAGAGTGGTACCTTCCTTGAGGTTTCTGCTCCCATGGGTTAAATAGCCATGGTCCTTGGGAAGCTCCAAAGGGACAACCCAGACTTCCCAGATGTCTGTGGTGTGGTTTCCCTGGCTCTTTGCAGCACATTAAATGTGCCTGTCAGGGCCCGTAGCTCAGTCTGGAAGCAGAGCTGAGATGGGCATCACGGGGCAGGTGATTTGCTGAGGGGGTGGTTCTGGGAGAGGCTTGCAGGGAGTGAGGGGAGAAGGAAGGGCAGGGGAAGGTACTTAGCAAAGATGTGGTTGCAGCAGAAGCCTATTTTCTCTCACCTGACCCCAGGGAGCGCTCTGGAGCATAAATTACATCCCAGGATTTATCACACTGAGGCAAGGTGGCTGGGCTTCTGTAGGCCTACATCAGTCAGTCACTGGCTGCCCTCGGTAACCGCCCGGGCAGGCATCTCTGGGTGAGGCAGCTCCCACTAAGGGCAATTTTCCTGAGAAGGGTGCAGGTGTGAACCAGCAGCAACCAAAGCCTGAAGCAGCCGGTGGATGGGCACACAGACCAGTAAAGGGGATCTAGAGGGAACATAGCAGCTGCCAGGGCTCCAGGTTTCCCACAGCAAAACCTTCCAGATCTTTCTCAGCCTGCCAGCCTCTTCACCCATTTTATTAAATATTCACAGCTCTTTAAGGTGTCTCTTGCTTACTTCCCTCCCCACATTTGCCTGTGCTGTTTTCACCACTGAGAACACCTTCCCTCCACTTCATCTGCCCTTCAGAGGCCAGTTAAACACTACCTCCTTCTGCAAAACACCTTCCCTGATTTCCAACACTCTCCGGAGTGGGAGAGTGCTTCCTTCCCTGTTCCTCACCCCACCTTTCCATATTCCCACAGTTTTATGTCTTTACTTTCCTTCATAGATAACGTCATCTTTCTTAAGCATTGCTGTTCCTCACACTGCAGCTTCGGGGCCCCCAGTGACTCCCAGATCTGTGAAGCTGTTGAGTCATTCTCGATGGCCCTCTCTCAGTCACATCTATGTCCACCTGGTGTGGTCCTACGCAAGCCCTCAGCCCCCACCCACCCGCCCGCTCCTGCCCTGACTCCTGCTGGGTTACTGCAGTGGCACCTAACAGTCTCCCTGCCTCCCACCCTTGACCTCCCAACCCCCTAATTAGGAAGTTTTTCTTAAACAGGAGGTCTCACCTGGCACTCTCCCACTCACTATCCCACAGTAGTGCCCCATTGCTATAAGGAGACATCTGAAGCCCTCAGCCTGGCTCTCCAGACCCCCAGGCTGGCCCCTGTCCTGCCACCCCAGTCCTGGTGCTCCCCTCCCATGTCTCACCCCCAGGAGTCCCAGAATCATACAAACTCTTCCATTCATCTTCTTCTTATCCCCAAAGTAGCCTCCAGTCTTGCCTTCATCTGCCTATACCCAGCCTGGTCAGTCCCACCTCTTCCAGGAAGTCTTCCCTGCCTGCTCCACCCCATCACATCACACTTCAGCAGAGCTGGCACTGGGTCAGGCCCAGGAGATGCTCTGTCAGAACTTGCTAATTGATAATGATGTCCTTGGGAGAGGGTCTGAACTTGGTCAGAGAGGGAGGGAGGGCTGTGGTGGGTCTTGGAAAGAAGCACTATGTGGGCAGGGATGTTGACTAAGAGCAGGGCACTGGGAGCAGTGGGGTGAGCATGTAGACAGAGGAGTATCTGAGTAAAGTGGGACCATAAGGCTTGGGGAGAGAAGGAGGCAATGAATGGGTTTAGGCTTCGGCCAGGCAAGCAGAATTACATAGGTCCAGGGCATTGGGTGGGTACAGGGCTTTGAGGACATGGGACATTGGGTGGGTATGGGGCATTTGGTGGTCAGAGGGCATTGAATGGGTGTAGAGTATAGGACATTGGGAGGGCCTGAAGTATTGGAGGCCTAGGATATTGGGGTCTGGGGTCCTGAGCTGGGTCTCATGTCAGAGCAGTCACCTGTTACCCTCAATGCCCCCAGGGGTGGTGCAGAGCATTAAGGATCACATCACAAAGCCCACAGCCATGGCGCGTGGCCGCGTGGCCCACCTCATCGAGTGGAAGGGCTGGAGCGCCCAGCGGTCGGGCTGGGAGCTGCCGTCAGCGGAGGAGGAGCATTACTGCTGCCTGCCGGATGAGCTGCGTGAGGCCCGCTTTGCTGCAGGTCAGCGTGGCGGTGGGAATGCAGACGGGCGCTGGCGGGGCTCTGCAGGACCAACCCACAAGCACTATCTGGGCATGGAGCAGTAACAGGTGTGGGGTGGATGGGGCAGTGAGTGGGTGCTCTTGACCACCCCCAGCCTGCCACAGTGCCAGCTTGTCCTGGCAGCCTCTGCCTATGCCCCACACTGAACTGGGTCCCACTCCTCCCCCTCCCCCACAGGGGTTGCTGAGCAGTTTGCCATTACGGAGGCCACGCTGAGTGCCTGGTCCTCACTGGACAACGAGGAGCTGCACCCTGAGAACAGCACCCAGGACATTGTCCACTTACAAGGTACAGCCTGTGTGTGTGTGTGGGGGGCTCCAGGGAGGGGCAGGCTGCAGAGCTGAGGCCAGATGCCTGGTCTACCTTCAAATGCAGTGTGACCTTGGGCAAGCCCCTTCCTACCCTCAGTCTTCATTTTTTCATCTGTGAGATGGGGCTGATGATCCTTGTGCTGCCCAGGGGACGCCAGGAGCATAAAGAAGGGCTGATGATAACAACAGGTCACATGACGTAAAGGCTTCCTGTGTACCAGGCACTGTGCTAAGCACTTCACATGTGGTATTTCACTTCATCATCACCACAGCCCAAGAAGTAGGGCCTGTTATTACCCCCATTCACAAATAAGGACACCAAGGCACCAAGAGATTCAGAAACTGACCCTAGATTACACAGCTAGAGGCGTCAGCCAGGATCTGAACCTTGACACCAGGCAGAACAATCATCTTTCTAGAACCCTGGACGACCACTAAGGGCTTCAGTGAGCCTGAGGACTGGCTGCAGCCTGCACACAGATTATCTCATTTAACCCTCCAACAGTGAGGGGCAGGTGAAGGGACGAGGCCCAGGAGGAGCACTGGGTGTCCCATTTCTCAGAGTTGCAAGGATTTGAGGTCAGCCAAGCTGCATAGTCTATGCACCTAACTGCTGGGCTCAGACCGCCACTACCCCTATAATTTCCAGGGAGGAAACTGGGGCTCAGAGAGGTTCAGTGACTTGCTGTGGGTCACACAGCTTGGCAGTGATCTGGACCTAGGTCCTCTGCGCCTTGCCCTCCCTCACACACCAGGATATGGGCAGGAGCAAGGTCCAGACTCCATCCTCACCTCCACCTGTTGGTTTTCCAGACCTGGAGAGCGTCTACCTACAGGACAGCCTTCTGAGCCCCTCACAGGATGACAGTCTTCTGGCCTTCTCCCCCGGTCCCTCGCCCGATGGCTGGCCCTCACCTGATGGGCCCTCTATCACAGAGGCCTGCCTGCAGCCCTCTAGCTCTGAACAGCAGCATCGGCGGCGGCTGCCAGGGGGCCCGGCTCAGGGCTCCCTGCCCTCGGTGGACAGCGGCTCCCTCTCTGAGGAGGAGGATGAGGTGTTCTATAACTGAGGCGGGATTTCCACCCAGGACCTGGCCTGGTGGGCTGCTGGGCACATTGGGGATCCAGGCTGGGCACCCCTTTAGCCTTCAGGCAGGCACAGGGTAGATGTGGCTGGGCTGGAGGCTAGCACTCCTTGGGACCACTCTGTGCCTCCATGGACCTGCCCCTAAGCAGTAGGAGCCATACCCCTCTTCTCCTTTCCTCTTTACCTGGCTCGGGTGAGCACCTTTCTCCGTCAGGGTTTCTGCCATCAGCAAACTCAAGGACTCTCATAGCAGACAGCAGAATAAAGTGACCCAGAGGGGCTGATAGCCAGGCCCCAAGCAGGCAAACCATGGAAGGGGCTGGGAGACCCACTCTGGGTGGTGTCTTGGGATGCTGCCATGATCCTAGGGAGCTCAGTCCCCTACTCCCTCTGTGCTTCTGCCCCCCATCACAGGAGGGATGGCCTCTTCTGGTAACTAAGCATCCCCTCCTCAGCTGTCTTCACCAGGACATCTTTGTCTCTGTCTGGAGTGTCTGCCTCTCCCTCACTTTCTGACCCTGCTTCCTGGATGTTCCCACCCCAGGGAGTCCACTCTGCCTTCTGCATCCCCTCCCATCTCCCTTGAGGTTCTCAGAAGATATTAAAATGGTGGATTCATCCTGGAGAAGCTTGGTCTGGTCTCTGCTGGGGAAGGCTCATCCTTGAGCCCCTTGAGGGAAGCAGGTGTCTAGGACTTAGAGGCACCACACACAATTGGTCAGCCTGCTGCCACCCAGCCTGGGGAGGCTCCATGGAGGATGCTCAAGGCTCTGTGATCCTCAAAGAACCACATGCAGGACCTGGTCTATCAACTCTGGCTCAGCCAAGGCAGAGGCTGAGGTTGGGGTGAAGGTAACTGGGCCGCAGGGTCCCATTTATACCCAAGGGTAAGTGTCGTGAGACCAGGTAGGGGCACTGGCTGGGGCTCTGCTCTAAAGACCCTCTCCTCATTATCTCCTGTCAGAAAGTGGGGCATGAGAAGTAGCAGGCAACCAGGGTTTTACAACTGTAATGCATGTGACCACTAGGGGCCTCAAGAGCTCACTCAAGGGGTCAGGGCAGGTAAGGAGCCAAGATGCCAAGTCAATGCCCTTGGAGCTAAGATGTGGGATGAACACCAGCTCTGTGGATCAGCTTTATTTTTCTCAGGAGCCTCTGGCTGGATATCAAACAACCCCTACATGACATCTGTGTCTGCCTTTGGTGACAGTATACATCAATCTCTTCATTTGTGAATCAGATATACATTCATTGAGCATCCACTGTATACTGGCTTTCTGTGGTCCATTTCTCTGAGCTCCATCAAGGTGGAGTTTGTCCTTCCAGACATGTAGTGTCTTGTCCCAGCAGGACAGGGCTAGGTTAGGATTGCCTATTTTGCCAAGGAGTTGAACTGGGCTGGGGCATGGGGGTGTGTTGGGATAAGGTGGAGAGAGGCAGGGTCTCTGCCCAGTCTCAAGTCACCAGGTAGCTGAGTGGCCCATTTCATCTGGCCAGACTGGCTCACTTTGGGGCTGGTGGATTGGTCACGTTAGAAATTGCTTTCTTCAACTAGAACAGAAAGAAAGGATTTTTTGGGGGTGGATATAGAGGAAGTTGGGGCTCCAGGTTTTTTGATTTCCTCAAGGGTCGATTCTGGGGTAAATGTTAGCGCCAGTGCCTTCCCATTGCAGACGGAATCACTGAGGTCCAGAAAGTGGCAGTACTGGTCCATAGAATGGCAAGGTTGTAGTAGCCAAGCTCAGCTGCTTAGTCTGGGGGCTAACAGGAAGACTGGGCCAGGAAAGGGGTGCTCATCAGAATCCCAGGAACCCTGCTCCCATATTTGGATGGAAGGATATTGATGTCCCGCCCCCAGCCTGCTGGGGCATAGCTCCTCCACTTTGCTCCACCCTCAGTACCCTGGTACCTCCACCCAGGACACGAAGCCCACAGCTCTGCCCTGCGATGTCACGAAGAGGGACTGGAGGTTCATCAGCTGGAAGAGGCTATGTGCCTGCAGGAAGGTATCAAGAATCACTGAGGGTAGGATTCTCTCTCCCATCCCACCACTCTGACCTCAAGGTCTCCCCAGCCTGAGGGTTTTGAGCAGAGGTGGTGGGCCTGGCCAGCATTCAGCCACAGCGATGTCCACTCCCCCACATCTCTGTGGAAGACCAGTGACCCAGACCTGCAATGTCAAAGAAGACCACCAGAGGTCCCCAGAGTCCATGGAACAGGCTGACTGGTCTCAGATGGAAAGGGCCTGCCAATCCAGCATCACCCAGCAGCAGAGAGGGGTTGGGGCTACCCCTGGATCCCCAGACTGCTTCCACTGTCCCTACCCTAAGTGCCAGGTTCTGTGCTTGTGGGGAGCAGTGAGGGAGGGAGAGGGGGCACTTGGTGTTCAAGATGGCTAAGTAATTTGCCCAGGATCACGCAAGAGAACCCAGAATTGAAACCCATGTGTGTGCTTTGATGCAAAAACTGTAATTTTCACCACTGTCCCTCTCCGCCCATGGGTTTCTATTTCCCAAGTCCTCCCTCTCTTCTAGTCCTGCATCATCTCAACACCCCAGGAGTAAGCACAGATCAGGCAGGCCCTGCTATGTCCATTTAGTGCATGGGGAATGGACAGCAACGTAGCCAGTGGGGGAAACTGGAGCCTGTGTCCCGACAGGACTTTTCCCCTCTACCCCAGGGGCCTCATCCGCCCATGTACCTGAAGGGTCCCTATTACCTGGTGCAGGGAGGTCTCTGGAGACAGCTGCAGGGTCACGGGCTCCACAGGACAGGCCCCAGCCAAGATGTCCTGGAGACACTGCTGGAAGGGGAGGGTTATGGAGTAAGGGCCAGCTTCCCCTTCCCCAGGCTGTCCCTTTCAACCACCTCTCCCACAGATCAGATAGCTCCTCCCCTCCTGTTGCCCCCTTGCCACTCTGACACCCCACTTGTGCCCACCTGGCGTTCTGGAGCCCAGGAAGGTGGCTCAGCCTGGAGGGCCTGCACCAACTGGTCCCTTCTCACAATGCCCACCAGAATTTGAGACTCTGGATAAGTGGAGAGGGAGAGTGAGGGAGAGAAGAGCATTGTACAGAAGAAGGGACATTTACTGAGCACCTAGTATGTTCACAGGTCTCCCAGGACCCTCCCAGCAGCCATATGGGTCAGGGAGTATCACCACCCATTTAACCAATGAGGAGAGGCCCAGAGGGGTTACTTGTGCTCCAGCCATATCCTTCCCCAAGGTTTAGCTTATGTATTTTCAAACAAGGGCCACCATTTATTTGTTTTAAAAATTATAGTTTTCTCATTGGGAATAAGGTTGAGGGGAGGGAACTTCAAGCACCTGGGGGTGCTTGAAGGGGAGCTTGAGTGGGAGAGGCCTTCTGGGAAGACCCTAATAGTATCTCCATCATCCTACCCACACTCTGAGCACACCAGGCCTGGTTCCTAGAAGTCGCCCAGGAAGATGGTTAATAATTCCAAGAGCACTGTTCATGGAGTGCTTTGTAAGCATCCTCTCATTTAAACACTTCACCCACCCCAAGACAGATCTTTATTATCTCCATGTTACCAAGAAGGAAACAGGCTCAGAGAGATGAGGTGACTTGCTCAAGGTCACACAGACACTAAGTTGCAGAGCTGGATTCAGATTCAGGTCTGCCTGACAGCTCCAAGGCCTAGCTTACCCTCCCCTGGGCCTGAGCCTCTGGGGTCCTAGAGGAAAGCTGAGGGAAGCCCCCTCCCCAGCTAACCCCCCTGCTTCCTGCTGGTACCTTTGCTCTCCACCAGAGGGTACTTGGCCACTTCTGTAGAGGTCACGACCTTGACCACCTCCTCGAGCAGTGTGTCCTTGGCCAGCGTGGTGATGGCGCAGCTCATGAAGTGCTCCACAGTCACACAGTGGGAGCTGTGGGCAGAGGGATGGGGTGGGGACATCAGACCCCAAGATGAAGCAGGGGACTTGGGGGGTTTTGCTGGAAACAGAGACTTGTGCTTCTCACCTGTGGGCAGCGCCTGAGGGATTCCTGGAATGAGGAACCCCAAGGTAGGGAGAAATCTGAAACTCATCTCTCACCTAAAGGCCTGCCTCTGGATCCAACCTCCTGGGTCCCCATCTCCCCCAACCCATCAAACTTTGCTCTATTATATCCAACAGGGTGCCCTGGAGAATTTCATTTTTAGAAAAATTTTATGGCCCCCCAAAAATTAAAGTTTGAAAACCGCTGGAGTAACTACCCCCATTTTACAGACGGGAAACTGGGATTCAGAGGAAGGCAGCCACTTGCACACATTTGGAGCTGGGTCTTGGCCCCGGAGCTCTCGGAGCCTCTTAGTTCTGCTTCTCCTAAGACAGGGGTCACCTGGTCCTGTCTAGTCGAGTGAGAACCTCAGCATCCATTTCCTTTCTCCAGCTCCCAGCATCCCGTGAACTCAACAGAACAAGGATGGGGAGAAGGGAGGGCTCCTCCATATCTGGTACTGATCGGAATGGGCAAGAGCAAGACATAGCACTTCTCTGAGCCCCAGTTTCCTCATCCCTGTTGTTGTCTCAGACCTGACTCATAGTGACCTCTCCTTGGGTTTCTGAGGCAGTATCACTACGGAATTAGATTGCCCAACTTTCCTTCCGAGGAGCGGCTGGTGGATTTGAACCACACACTTCTACTCTGACACACACACAGGGTTGCCATGAGTTAGAGTGGAGTTGTCTCAATGGCACCTGGTGATGATGGTGGTGTGAAGATGGACTGATGACCATCTGAAGCCCAGGGAGGCCAAGACCTTGCCTAAAGTCACTCAGTGGAGACAAGAGGGCAGCCATGTGTCTGCCCTTCCCTCCTTCCCCTGCCCATGTCCAATGTCAGCTACAGTGGGTTTTCTTGTATGTACGTGTAGGGAGGAAGCTCCCACCCCAGCCCACTTGAGACACCATCACCCCACCACCCAGCCTGGGTGGGACACTGCTCACTTAATGCTGCGGCCCCGGATCCATGGCAGGTAAGGCAGCTTTTTGACGATGATGGTGCCATCATAGAAGGAAGGCTGGCAGCTTTGGGCAATGGCGTTGGCCGCCAGCACCGCCATCAGCACAGGCAATGCATGCACAATCTGGCCGGTCAGTTCAAAAGCCAGTATAGCCGTGGAGATGGTGTGGGTCACTGCCCCTGAGAAGGCTGCAGCCCCTGTAGGGGACAGACCCCAGGAGGGCAGCTCAGGCCAAGGCCAGTCACATAGGAAGACATGACTGGTGTGGCTATGGCCATGGGCTAGGTTGGGAACTGTCCAAGGGTTTCTTGACCTGAGGCCACACTCTGCCACTGTTGGAAGTGCCCAAATGCCTGGGCTGAGTGAGTGGGAGGAGAGGAAGGGGTGAGGGATGGGGGATCAAGGATAAGACAGGAGCTAAGAAAGGGTAATGGGGGCTCCACAGGAATAGGGTTTAGGGAGGGGACAGACCTCCTCCAGGGGTGAGGGCAGCTCGTTGGGAGGCTCAGGGACCTTCTTCATGCCATGAGGAACTACAATGGGTGCTCCAGGTCCAGCCCAGCCCCATGATAGCTGCCCACCCAGCAGGGTCCCAGCCACTCACCTGCCAAGGCATATCCCCCGGGGATGATGGGATAGGTGACACCTCCAGCCAAGATGCCCTTGGGGAAGGCAACAGACAAGGCCTCCCCCAAAAGGCGCCCGATGGCAGCTCCTGAGCATAGATTTGGGGTAAGGAAGAGGGGGCTGTGTCAGAAGCCCCTGCCATGGCCCCACCCCTATAACCCTGAAGCCCAGACTCACCGAAGATGAATATGGGCATGAAGTACCCAGCTGGTATGGGGATTGTGGTAGCCAGAATTAGCATCCAGAACTGTGGGCAGGAGCAGGGAGATTGTCCCAGAGAGGGGTGTCTGAATGGGATTTCCTCCTTCCTCCTCAACCTGCCCTCCAAGGGAGGTCTAATAAACTACTCCCAGTTTACAGATGAGCCACTTGGTGAGCAGGGATTAGGTTAGGGAGTCGGTGGAAGGCCCAGCTCTGGGCTACAAGCCATGCATGGGGAGGTAGCCTTCCATCCCACCCAGGGCTGATCTCAGCTGTGTACACGCCCCCCAGGAGAGTGGTGTTGGGAGGCCCACCTTCATAACCAGGAAGAAGGCAAGGGTCCCAAAGATGGTAAACTGTGGATGGTACCACTCAAACCACAGGTTCTGGGAGTCAGGCTCAGCCGGCCAGGGAGGAGTCGAGTTCCAACTGATGAGAGCCCACGAGTTGTTGTCGAACAAGGAATCTAGATGTTCCTTCATGGACAGCTGGAGCAGGGTTGAGCAGAATTCTACATGACAGGGGCCAAAGCCATCATCCCCAGCCACCCTCCGCACATGCTGCCTGCCTCAAATCCTGCTCCAGCACCTCCCAGCTGGGGGACCTTGGGGTGGGGGGGTGTCTGCACTTCCCTGAGCTGCAGCTTCCTTATCTGTAAAACGGTGTCAGGTAGCCCCTTACAGGGGTATTGCCAGGATTAAACAAGAGGACAAACAAGGCAGGTGAGGAATGGTCGTTCCCTTCTCTATTTCCTCTGCCCCCAGCCCAGCACTCCTTACCCGAGAGGCCATGAAACGGCCCACACCAGGGGGGTAGGTGATGGAGGCAAGGACCAAGGTCACCAAGGTGGAGTACACTGGCTTGCTGAGGGGAAGAGAGGGACGTTAGCTCTAGTGACAGCCCCTCCTTCCCTCCACCATGGAGGAGGGAATAGGGCCTCATAGGAGCAACCCCCGGGATCAACACCAAAGCTGGAACCTGTTTGGAGGAGGGGGCATGGGTCAGCCCCTACCCCAGAGGAAAGAAGCATCTGTCAGCCCCTTACCACTGGGTGCAATCAGTAAGGGGCAGGGTTGATGGGAGGGTTGGGGACAGAGAAAATCTGGGAAGAAGGTCAAGGCCGGGCCATGCTGGGGTGGACTTGGTGCAGGGCTGGCCTGGCATGGGAAGAAGGTGGACTTATGCAAAAGAGGGTTCTGTGGGAGGTCTAGGCTTGATGAGAGAAGAAGGTGTTAATTGAGATGACAGGGGCTCAGTGAAGGGTAGGTTAGTGAGGGGGCTGTTAGCTCAGGATGGAGGGATGGGAGCAAGGCTTGGGGAGTGGAGTTAGTCATGGGGTGGGACTCCACAAATAAGACATAAGCTCAGTGGGAGGGTAGTGGTTCAGTGGTGGTGGTGGTGGGGAGGCTCTCTATGTAAAGGAGTTATGGGCTCAGCAGATCCCCTAAGAGGCTTCTGGGCCCAGCCCAGTGCCTACCTGGTGGCCAACAGTTTGGATGTGAACCTATTGGTTCTGATGAAGTGGAGGAAAGTTCTTTGACAGAAGAGGTACGCACAGCTCAGGATGCCACAGATGGCCCTGGAGGTGTGAGGTGGGTGAGTCAGTGCCAGGGGCAGCAGTTCAGGCCTAGGGGAGGACCCCAACTGGGCTCTCTCATTGGCCAGAGGCCGCCCACTCACCCCAGCACCACAAAAAAGAAGATCTCGGGCAGGTCAAAGGGGACATCCACTCGGAAACTGGTCTTGAAGAGGGAGGTGATGGTCTCTGGGGGAGGAGGGGAATGGGGAGCAGAGGTCACATGCCTTACCCACCCAAACCCAAGTCCAAAATTACTAGGGACGGTGGAGGTGGGGCCAGGTCCTGCCCCTCAATATCATTTTTCTGGCATTCAAGGACCCAGAGCCCGGTTCTCTGCCCTGCCTCCCTGCCCAGCTTCAACTCCTCTCCTCCACAGAGCCCCCCACTCTTCAAGACCAATAAGGTGGGCTCCCTTCCATGCTCTTGGGAAGGGGAGGGGGAAGAGGAAAGAGAAAACATAAAAGAGGAATGTGGGGAGGAGGCAGGAGAGAGAAGAGAGAAGGCAAGAAGGAAGGGAAGAGGTGAGGAGGGAAAGGAGAGGGGGTGAGGAGAGAAGGGGAATGGGGAGGGACTGGTCAAGCCATGAGCTAGGCTCACCCTGCTCGCTGTTAAAGACCGCCAGGAGGCGGAACATGAAGGCTCCGCAGGTGGCAGCAAAGAAGGACCACCAGTAATCCCAGACAGTGTAGTGGGAAGACATGACCTCGATGCTAAAGAGGACGCCTGGGGGCGACAAGGAACTCAAGCTCACTCCACATGCACCCCAGCCTGCAAGACCTCAGGCAGCCAAGACCCCTTTGACATGGACGCCTCAGCCCAGCAGTGGGAAGCCATGTCTGTGCCCCACATCATGCCACCGAATCCTCAGGACAGCCCTATGGGGTAGGGAAGATCACGATCTCCACTTGACAGATGAAATAAAATCTGAGAGGTGAATTTACCTGCCCAGGAGCATGCGCAGTGGAACAAGATTGCAAACCCAAGTCTGTCTCCCGTCACCCCAGCCGTGGAGTGGTTGCACCCAGCAGGAAAATTATCTCTTCCCCAGGCCCTTGAACTGGCAGAGGAGGGAGCTGGGGGCGGGGGCGGTCCTGACGCGCCAGGAGGGAGAGGGGTGCAAGGGGCGGGGCTTGAGGGGCGCCTCACCGCTGAAGGGCGCTGCGAAGACTGTGGCCACGCCCACCGCAGCTGCTGCCACGAGCATTTCCTTTTGCTTGCTCCTGTTCTAAGGGGACCCGAGTTCTGAACTCAGAGCCAGCCCTCGCTTCTCCCAGTTTCTCCCCTTTCCAGGGCTGGCTGGTGGGAACCCCATTCCTCAAAGGGAGGTCTAACCCTGCACCCCTTACCTCAGACTCTCTGACTGCCTTGGTGCGCACGCGGCTCAGGTAGGCAGCGATCATCACAGACAGGTGCACGAAGGGACCCTGCCGAGGGGAGGTGTGGTGCAGGGTGGGCACCCTGGGGGAAGCTGGGGCCCTTATCCCTCCTTCTCAGGTGCAGTGGGGGCACAGGGAGCCTCACCCAGGGCCAATGGTGGCATGGCTGCCCAACCAGATCCTCCTCCTCCATCCCCTAATCCCCAGGGCAAAGCTGAGGTGGCCTTTGTCACATTGACCTGACCTGCCTGCTCTAAAACTAAGAGGTCCCCGAGCTCTGACCCAGCTTCAGGTGGGATGATGGGGGAAAGGCAGGGGCAGGAAGGCAGGGCAGGGTGGGGTGGGGTAGGAGGTGCTCAGGCTGGCCCGTACCACTTTGCCCAGGAACACAGTGCTGCCGCTGGCCAGGGTGCAGGTGAGCCCCACCACCTTGGCCCCGAAGTTCTTGATATCCAGATAGTCTTCCAAGATCACACCAGACAGGATGGTTTTCAGTTCCGGGATTCCAGAACCTTAGCAAAGGACAGGGCAGGGGACAAGCATCTTAAAGCTTGATGTTGTACCTAGTGTTTTCACATCCTGAGCCTGTGAGATTCTCACAAGCCCTGTAAGGTTAGGATTTGTAAACCCATATTGCAGATGAGGAAGCTGAGGGTCAGGAAAGGGAAGTGAGTTATCTATGAACTCCCATCTGGGTGTGGCAGATGCTGCAATGGGGTGGGGGAACCCAGGATGAGAGCTGAGGCCACCACTGGGCACACCCCTGGCCCTCTCCCCTGCTGGCCTGTGCCCCTCCATTAGCCCCACTCTGGGGATGCCATTGGTATGGGTCCTGCAGGAGGCCTGCCCCCATTTCTCCCTGCACAGACCAGAGGTCTAGGGGCACTGTGCCCCTCCAGTAGCTCCACTCTGGGGATGCCCTTGGCATGGGCTCTGCAGATCTGCCCCAGTCCTCCCTGTCACAGGCCAGAGAGGCTCCCAGAAAACAGGTAGAGTCAGCAGCAGTCAAGAGATCTGGCCTTCTCCCTGTGTGACTTAGGGCAAGCAACACGACTCCTCTGAGCCAGGCTGTGAGTTGGGGTTACTGCTTCCTGCCTGCCCCCATCCGAAGCCCTATGGGGTATGAAAGGGCTTTGGCTAGTGGGGACTGCAGGTAAGGTGCAAAGGGGCAGGACCCTGGACTCACCTCCGGAGAAGGGTGTGATGCTCTGGGAGAAGCCTGAGGAGAAGGAGACGAGGGCCACAGGGTATACGGTCCAGGAGAGATATCGGAGCAGGTGGCTGTCCCCAATCTCCCGATACAGCCACTTGTGTGCTGGGGATGGCAGGGAATCAGGGAGCCACCCATAGCCTCTCCAACCCATAGGCCCGACACGGTGGTGCCCAGTTACTGGCCCAAACAGGGGACCCAGGGCAGATCCCAAGAGGAGGCAGGTAAGACTCTGAGTCATATTTGTTTTGCCACTTCCTAGCTGAGTGACGTTGGGCAAACAACTCAGCCTTTCCAAGCCTCTGTTTTCCTACTTGTCAAATGGGCTAGTGAGGGTACCCCCCTCACACTCATTGTGAGAAGTAAATGAGACAGGTATGAAGGGCCTCCAACAATGCTTGGCACATAGTAGTTCTCATTATGGCAGCTAGGGGCCTCTCCCCAAGAAGATGACTTAAACTTTTCCTGCCCCATGCCCCTTGAGAGCCCTCAGGGTGGAGAAAGCCTGATGAGACAGGGAAAGAAAGCTTGATGCCTTGTGGTGTAGACAAGTGTCCTTCCCGAGGGTTGGCGAGCTGAGAGCAAATGGGGAGGGAGGAGAACGAGCAGGGGTGACATAAGAGGTGGGCACAGAGCTCAGACAGGGAAGCACTCCTGGAACATTCAGGTCTCTCTCACTCATTGTGCACAGAGAGGGGCAGGAGCTGCCCGGGCTCACACAGCAAGTCAGAAGCAGAGCTGAGAGAAGACCCAGGCCTCCCCTGCTCCCCCCCCCGGCTGGGTGTAGAAGCCCTTTTGGCATCCCCAAGAGCATGCCTAGAAGCCCTTGGACCAAAGCAGGGTGTGCGGGCCAGGTTACCTCGGACCACACGGCCTATGACGAAGTTCATGGCATAGCTGACGAGGGCCATGAGCACCCCGAGGGTCATCAGGAGGTGCCAGTCCTCACCCTCACGGAACAGCTTCTGCTTCAGCCACTCCAGGCCATCTGTGGCAGGGGCTGCGGGTCAGAGCCCAGGGTGGGGCAGGGGGCATGGACAGCCCTTTCCTTGGAGACCTCCCCAGGCTCTGGGCAGGAAGGACCCGCATGGGGATGGGCTGGGACCAGGTGGTCCCATTCAGGACAGCCCGGCTAGGGGTCTGTCTCACATGAAGGGCAGAGCAGGTTTGTGCCAGGTGGCAACACAGTGGGTACCAGGCCTGTTGCCACTGCCAGGAGACCTTCGTCCTGTCACCCTCCCTATCCCTGCCCATGTTGTTGTTAGTTTGTTGTTAAGTTGATTGCAACTCACAGCAACCCCATGTACACAGAGTAAAACTACTCCATAGGGTTTTAGAGGCTTTGACTTCTCAGGAGCAGATCACCTGGCTTGTCTTCCAAGGTGCCTCTGGGTGGGCTCCAACCACCAGCTCTTCAGTTATTAGTCAAGCAATTAACCATTTGCAACACCCAGGGACTCTCTTGCCCCATACTGGGTGCTTAGAGAAGAATGATCAAGTTGGGGAGAGTGGTTAGGGGCTGGGAGCTACAGCTTTGAACGACATCTCAGAAGGGTCCATAACTTAGATAGCCGGAGAGCTTAGCAAAACTCCGATGTCCCACAACCTGCGTGGCTGTCCCACAGGTCCTACAAATGCCAGGCCACAGAGCCCCTACTGGGCTCCCAGGAATGCCCTCTGCCCTTTGGCTGCCAGCCCAGCCTGGAAGCTGGCCCTCACTGGTGATGGGTACCAGCCCCCAAGGCTGTATATAGCCTCTTTCTGAGGTCCCTGCCTTCTCTCCCCCCAACTAAGGGGATGGCCCCATTCTCAAAGTAAACAATGCACTTGGGGCTCTGAGGAAAAGTGCCAAGTCCAGGCTCCCCCAGCTTCCTGCTGTCACATTATCGGACACCGCCCCTCAGGGCCCCTTTCTGGTGCAGGTGGGTGAGATTCAAGCCATCCCACCACAGGTGGGAGTTTGGGGTAGAGCCCTGGGTACAGGGTGGGCTCAGTGATCAGGCCTCAGGTCTGCATCTCCCATAAGGCAGAAGTCAGATACCTGGCACATCTGACTTACAGACAAATGGACAGACACACAGATTCCTTCCCTCCCTGCCACCCAGGAGACTCTGGGCAGTTATATATCAGGCAAATGAAAGGAGGGGGGCAGCCCTTGAGCTTCCCAGTAGGTAGGGGAGCTATGGTCTGGATAGGGGTGCTGTCCTGAGCAATTGGACTGTGGTTAGTGGGGAGGGGAGAGAAGACCCAGCTCTCACCTCTGATGCCTCTGCGGATGCGGGGACATGGGCTCCATAGCTCCCGCAGAGTCACAGGGTTCCCTGAAGACCCCTCACGCAGCCCTACCAGCTCTTCCATCAGGTCCCTGGTAGAACAGATAGATGAACAGACTCTTTCTGAGCTGTTCCCACAAACTTACCCTACCACTTGCTCCATCCAATACTGCTGCTTCCCAAATAAGAGAAGACTCTGTGTGTGTGTGTATGTGTGTGTGTGTGTGTGTGTGAGATCACCAAGTCAGAAAGGAGCATGGGTCTAGGGGTGCCCTAATCACTGAGGTGGTGTCACTGCAGGGGTGTCCATGTATGTGTTGAAGTGCAGGCAGGGCAGCTTGGTCAGAGGCAGGATGACTGGATTGGATCCCCTGGCCCCTTCTGTGGCCACTGCTCCCACCTCCTGGGTGCTTGACTGTTTCCACTGCTCAGAGTAGTCTCTTCACCTAGGGGATGTCATTCTCCCACTGTGGGTGCTCTGATTCCCCATGCCTACCCCTGAGCCCCCCTCTCAGGCTACAGAGGCAGGAAAACTCCAGATCTGAAAGGAGACCCTGTGAGGGTGAAAGTAAGGTGCTGGCTCCCCAGCCCCCATCCTCCTGCCCTGGTCTTGGCAGGTCCCACCCAAGTCCCTGCCCCAGCTCCATGGCAGACAGCCACTCACCTCTGCCAGTCCGCCCTGCCGTAGCCCCAACCAGTCCTCCTCTAACAGAGATCCCTTTGCCTCCAGCTCAGGTGCACCTGGACAGGTGTGCACTCCACCAATCAACATCCTCCTTCTCCCCCCTCCCCACCAGGTTTACTGTGGCCATTAAGAATGTCCTTGACAAACCACCCAGAACTGCCCAGGCTGACTGAGCTGTGCAGGGCAGAGCGGCCAGGAGGGTGCAGGGCACAGGGCCTCTCGCAGCCTACAGAAGCCCAACTGTATGTCAGGCCCCATGATGCCATGGGGCAGGGCCTGGGAAGGGAGTTCATTCACACAGTGAAACAGTAAGGGTCGCTTGCTGGGGCAGAGGGCAGGGCTCTGGATTCTCAGAGCTGGGTATAGAAGGGATTTGAAAAAGCAGAAGAGGACAAGGGATACTACCCACCCCAGAGAGAAAGGACATGAGCAAAAGTGAATGGAGCCTATTATCCCTGCACCCTATGCCCAACCTGCCCCCCAATTACCAGGAGCACTCACAGAAATGAAGTGAGGCCAACAGTATCATCCTGTTTTAAAGAAGTAGAGTGAGGCTGCTTGTCCAAGGAGGCTGAGGGGGCAGAGCCAAAGCCCCACCCAGGTTCACCTGACTCCCAACCTGTACATTCTGCTCCACATTCCTGCCTTGGTGGTCCATCTCGTTCAAGTGCAGTGATGACCCAATGAGCTGGAGGACGGGCAATGAACTGGGCCTGCCACAGGCCTCTGAGGCCTGGTGAGGAGCTAGAACTTGATCCTCCTGTCCAGCCCCTCCCATCTCAGAAAAAAAACAATTGCCTCTGAGTCAACTCCCACTCGTGGCAACCGCCATGTGTGTCAAAGTGGAACTGTGCTCCATAAGGTTTCCAGTGGCTGATTTTTCAGATGTAGATCACCAGGCCTTTCTTCCAAGGCACCTCCGGGTGGACTTGCACCCCCAGCTTTAAGTTAACAGCCGAGTGCATTACCGTTTTCCCCACCCGGGGGACTTGCCATCTCAGAAAAATGCCTCTCAAACTGCAGCACTCACAGGGCAGTGGCTCTGGCTAGGGGCTTTCTGGTAAATGCCACAGACTTTGCCCCACCCCAACAGAGGGTAGGAACATGGAAATCAGTGGGACACACCAAGGGAACAAGTACATGTTGCTAACTCTATGCTTTACATTTGCAACACCACTGTGAGTTGGGGACAACATCTCTATTTTGCAGATGGTAAATGAAGAATCAGAGAGGTACAGTTACTCATCTGAGGTCACACAGCAGAGGCTGAACCCAGACCTGGGCTGTGAGGCTTTTCCCCTCCTGGAAACACCTCCAGCTCCTATGGCTTAATCAGTCAGGGTAATGATTTGGGTGCAAAGCAGAGGATTAGTGTCTGATGCACCTTTGGTAAATTTGGACAAGAGATCCACTGCCGGGCCCATCCCCCTGCCAGAGCACCCCTCTGAAAATCATGATGGCTTTTCAGTGACTGGGAACAGGAGCCACTCCTTGCTCCTAGATGCCAGGCCAAGTCATCGATTTAAAATAGGAGCATGTGCGCGTGCACGCGTTCATGCGTGGTGTTGGTGGTAGGGGGAGTATATGTGTGTTGTGGGTATGAGTGGAGGGCTTGCCACTCTTTGTGGACCTGGGCCCACCCTTGCCCTGGTCACTCCAACCTGTTGGCTGTTTATAGCAACAGGATAACTGGCTGCCTTGTTGACATTCCAAACCCCAGCCTCTGGCCTCGGGCAGCCCAGTCCCACAGCCAGCATCGGCCAGCCGGCCAGCACTACATGTTCACACCCTCACCACCCTGCCCTGTGAGCACCAGGAAACTGAGAAGAGGGTGGCAAGGGGGCATGGGGCCCATGACAAGTCTCTCTCAGAGCCATTTTCCCCATGTGGCAGCCCCCAATGTCTCTCTCTTCTGTGTGAAACACTCAGCAAGTGGTGAGGAGGGAGCTCAGCAGCGGGGAGCAAGCTTAAAGCCAGACAGCTCCACTCCCCCTGACTGGTCCTTCCCCACTAGGAACCTCAGTGTCCTCTTCTGTCCAATGGGGAGAGCCTGGGAGCCATGGGGACAGGGGCTTGTATCTGCCCTCATCTCCTGCCTAGAGCAGTGCCTGGCACGTAGTTGTTGTTGTTGTTGTTGTTATGTGCCATCGAGTCAGCCCTGACTCATAGCGACCCCTCCTTGGGTTTCCGAGGCAGTATCACTACGGAAGTAGGATTGCCCAACCTTCCTTCCGAGGAGTGGCTGGTGGGTTTGAACCGCCAGCCGTCTGGTTAGCAGGCAAGTGTCTTAGCACGTAGTAGGTGTTCAGTAAATATCTGGCTGGGTGGGGAGCTGAACGAAACAGACTCGTAAGAAACAGACTCCTGGACCTTTCCCAAGACCCCTGCATCAGACTCTGCATTAGACTCCAGGCTGCAGGGAGAAGAGTCTGTTTCTTAAAAGCTCCCCCAAATGATATTCAAAGCTTGCAAGCAGCCATCTAGATGCAACGATGGGTCTCTCTTCATCCAGAGCAAAGAAGAATGAAGAAAACCAAAGATTCATGGAAATAATTAGTCCTCGTGACTGGTACACCATGTGATCCTCAGCCTGTACGACTATGAGACCAGGGGAACTAGATGGTGCCCAGCTGCGCTGTCGGTCACTCGGAGGGGGATCTGTGGGGGCGGTACTGGTTGGAGAGGGAGAGCAGTGTAGAGCAAAACTCTAAGTCATTTGGGGAAAATAAAAGGTGGGGCAGGTTTGCTGGTCTGGTGGAGCCTGGTAGAATGACTGAGACTATGGCCCCTAGCTGCCCTTTAGGTCTGGAATTGAACCCACACCTGTGGCTTCCAGCCAAACAAAATATAGGCATATGAGTTGAACATGTACCTGAGGTAGATACACTCCTTGGAGAGAACAATCATGAGAGAAAGAACAGCCGTTTATGCATAGGGAGACAGCTCAGGGGGCAGGAGTGCATGGAGGGATGGACACAGGGAAGAGGTAACTATCGGGAGGAAGTGGGAGGGGAGCTGTTGCATTGGGGTAAATTGTAGTCAATGTCATGAGACAAAGTGTATGTGAGCTGCTGTATGGAAAGTGAATTTGCTCTGTAAACTTTCACACAAATCACAATTTAAAACAAAAAAGAAAAGAAAAAGAAAGCTCCCCCAAGCAACTGGGATGCCCTGGAAGGCTTGGGTATCAGTTTTCAGTGCAATGGGTCATCTCTGAAGCTCCTTTGATCCCTTTGATCTGAAGGGAGAGGCGTGCCCAGAGACAGGGGAATGGCCTTAATGACCTTTCGAGGTCCCTCCTGGCCAATGAACACAAAGAACCTGGTATATGTGTGGGTGAAGCCTCAGGAATGCAGAAGGGGGAGGAAAGGTGGGCGGGGATGGGTAATGGGATCTGATGCCCAGGAGCTGTGACTCAGGCCTTCAGCACCATGACAGTGTGTCTGCATTTAGCCACTGGCTCTTGTTTCCCTGGCGGGAAACAGGCCCCCCACCCCACCCCCACTCCCACCCTCTTTCCATGGTTCCTCAGTGCTGGGAACTGTCTGACAACCCAGCTAGATCCCCCTTAGTCAGGATGGGTGGCACAGGCCAGCCAGGGATCTCTATTGGCAGTGTTAGACAGCCCCTTGACTTTGGGCCCCAGCTCTACTTGTGCCCCAAGCCCTGCTCTGTCCCCACTTCACATACCACCAGCATCAGTAATTACCCCTATGGATGGAACCCTCCAAGGATGAAGCTCCATAGGACTCTGTGGGTGCCAGAGGAAAGAGGAACAGTCCCCACCTTCAGGAGCTCCCAGTCTAACAAGGAAACAGATGAACCCCTGTCCCAGAGGGATTCCCAGTCTGACAGAGAAGTGAGGACATAGCCAGGAAACCCCAGAACAGAGGAAGTCCATATCACACTAACAGGGTGGGGGGTGGGCTTCTGGGCTGCAGGGGACCCCTGTGTGGCTGGAGCAATCCAAGAGGCCTCCGTGGAGGAGGAGGGCCTTGAGCTGATCTGGAAAGCAAGGACAGGACTTGGAGGGGAGAGTGGGAGGCTCAGCCCTGTGACCCCAGTTGGAGGGCCTATCATCTTCCAGAATGACCGTCCCATGTTCTCTGATGATTCAGCTCTGGCTCTGCTGAGCAGGGAGTGGGGGGGGGGGAAAGGGGGTATCTAAGCATCATCTATACATGTCTCCATCCAAGTGTGTTCAAGTCATCCCAGCCTCCAGGAGGCCCTCAAAGCCCAAAGCCAGGACTTGGGATCAGATGCTTCTGGATCTGAATCCCAGCTCTGCCCCTTAGACCTGTGTGAGCCCCTCTGTTTCTGGGAATAAATAGCGTCTCTTCCTTCCCAAGTCCAGTGGGGATCAGATGGGGCCCTACTGGTAGAGAACGCAGCCAGGAGCTGGAGCCCTATGCAGAAGTCAGAGCTGGAGTCATTGTCTTCGAGAATTCTCCTTTTCCCCTAACTGCAATCCCTCCCACTGCAGTCTCAGGTGTCTCCCCTGAGACAGAGGTCAAGCAGTGTCCTGGAGCACAACCTTCTAGATATTTAAGGACAATCACCAAGTTATCTGGGCCCAACCCTGAGCCCTGCCTCAAGCTGCCAGCTCTCTCCTCTTGGGGCCCCTAAATGTTCAGGGGGGAAGAGCAAGCATGGAATCCAGTCCCCATGGGAGCTGGCAGGCAGACAGCTGCACATTCTATCCCCCTTCCTCAGGGCTGTCTCAGACTTTCCTAAGAGATGGGCCATAAACATTGTCTGCCTCCCAAGGGGCCCAGAGGAGGTCAGGGTCCCCACCCACACTTGACCTTCAGACATTATCATCTCCTGCTCTCCCCAGAGCCCTTTGAGGGGCTTGGGGGCTTGGACCCCTGTGCCCTGATCTCACACCACCCAGATCCCCCCTTACCAAGGACTGGAACTTCAGGAATGGGGACAGGAAATAGAGGAAACCTTGCTCTCAAAGAGCTTACAGTCTGATGGAGGAGGCACTGTTCTCAGGGAATTGGAGGGGGCAACACGGTCTTCAGGGAGCCTGGGTAGAAGGAGCAGATAGAAGACAGAAACAGCCAGCCCTTTTCCAGAACAGTCCAACAAGCACACGACGTTGTGGGCCAGGCACGGAGGTCTGAGAGCAAAAGCACAGAATCCAGCTCCCCACCCCCAGCGGGGGGGAGGCCCCTGGGCTGGTGTTAGCAGCCTGGAATGCCGGCGGTGGTGAGCTCAGCCGGAGGCTTGCATGCATCGCCTGTCAGCAGGGCAGTCTCGGTGGAGAAGAGTTCCAGCCCCCTCTGGGCCGCGGAGAGGCCTAAATTTAGCCAGTAGACAAGAGGCTGGCCCAGAGCCCAGGGACAGTCAGGCCTTATAAAGCGCCGGCAGCCGGGCCCTGGCATGCTCCCCCAGAGGCCTGCCACCCACATCCCTCTTCTGTGCACCCCTGCCCGCCTGGACAGGGCCCGGCTGCCCGCCCGTGAATGAGTCACAGGACCTCCTCCACCTTCAGAGCGGAGAGAAGCTTCCATTCCTCCTCCTCCTCCTCTTCCTCCTCTTCTTCCTCCTCAGCCACCCGAGCCCTCCCTGCCCAAGACCCACCCATGGAGAAGGCCCTGGGCATGTTCTCTGAGGATTTTGGCAGCTTCATGCGGCCCCACTCGGAGCCCCTGGCCTTCCCAGGCAAGTGCTGGGGGGCTTTGACGGGAGGGCTGGTGCACAGGTAGGGGACATCTGCTCCAGGGCACCATCAAATATGGGCAGAACTGGTATTGCACATCCTGCAGCCACGTGGCCACCAGGACAGATGTAGCCATAGGCACAGATGTGGCCATGCACACAGGTGGGACTCCAAGGACAGCTGTGGCCCGGGGCTCAGAGGCTCCAGCGGCCAGATGTAGCTGCAGCTTGTAGCTGCAGGGGGAGGCTGGGTGAGGTTGTGGAGTGGGAGGCATCCCCCTGGAGTGGGGCTGCTATGCACACACACACCCCATCTATGTTGGGATGAGGGTCCATCCCCACTGTGGAAAAGGTGGGCTGTGAGATGTGAGAGGGGCACAGAGGGCTTTAGGGACAATACCTGAGAAGGATGCCAGGCCCAGGGAAGCCACCTCTTTCCCAACAATCCAGAGACCCAAGTTCTGGAAACAAGTCCTCCCCTGTGCCTGGCTCACAGCAGCCTTCTCCACAGCCCGTCCAGGGGGGCCGGGCAACATCAAGACCCTCGGAGACGCCTATGAGTTTGCAGTAGACGTGAGTGATTTCTCACCGGAAGACATCATTGTCACCACCTCCAACAACCACATTGAAGTGCGGGCTGAGAAGGTGAGCCTGGCCCCCACTTCCTCTTGGACTCTGGAGTCTGCTCCTTGTCCTCTGCCTAGTCCACTCTCTGAATTCAGTGTCCCCCTAGCCCCTTTCTGGGACCCCAGACCCTGACCTGTGCCCCTTCCCTCCCCACCATTTCCCTTAACAATCTGGGGATCTTGTCTCCTGTAGCTCATGGCCATGGAACCCCCTTACTGCCTCTCTCAGCCCCAGGGTTCCTAAGTTCTTTCTTCATGTCTCCTAGAACCTAAGGCCCAGAGGGTCCTGGGGTGGGGATGAGAGGAGGGAGATAGCAGTGGTGACGGAGATAGCACCCTGTGTGTGGGGGTGTACAGGGGAATTGGTCCTTCACCGACACACCTTCAAGGTCTCTTCCCTCCCAGAGCCAGAGGCCCAGCTTCCTCTTGGGAGCCCTGAATCAAGGCCAAGCAGAGGGTCCCACAGACTCTAATGGGTCACAGTCCGAGAGGCTCTGTTTGCAGGCTGTGCACAGGGGCTGGCCAGGGTGGGAATGGCCATGGGCCATGGGCTAAGCAGAGACAGGCACAGAGGCACTTGGATGAAGTCAGATAGCTCCAAGGTGTAAACAAGGGGCTTGATGAGGGAGGAGGCTCAGTGTCAGTGGCTTAGAGGCAGGGGTCCCTGAGCAATGCAGGAGACAATGGCAAAGCTGCCTCACCCATAGCCCCCAGGTCCCAGATATGGCCTCCTTCATTTAATCCAGAATAGAAGAGTTGGGGTGGGGACCCATTCTTCTTCCACCCATGGTGCTCAGGGTGACTGGGTCACTAAGGCCTTTGAGTCTGGAGTCTGGGACCTCCAGCCAGGAGGAGAGTGTGACCAAGCCTGAGGTAGCCACAAGTGCCCAGTGAGAGGAGCAGAGGGTCAGCCCAAGGCCCCCTCTGGATCCCCCACTGCCTGGCTTCCTCCCTGAGTGCTAAGTGAAGGAGCCTGGAGTCCTGCGCTCCTGTGCCAGGGAAGCCAAGGACTATGGGCACCAGCACCAGGAGGCAGCACGTGCCAGCCCTGCCATCCCTTGCAGTGACTCAGCTGCCTCAAGCTCCTCTGGACACTGTGTGCTGGCCGAGCTGTGGGGGAGGGGCCACTGGCCCAGCCCCTGGTGGGGGACACCCAGAGTGTCTGGGCTTCCTGGAGAACACAGCTCTCAGCTTTGCCATCGTCTCCTACATTGCTCAGGGGCCCTCGTCTCTGAGCCACTGACACTGAGCCTCCTCCCTCATCAAGCCCCTTGTTTACACCTTGGAGCTATCTGACTCCATCTAAGTGCCTCTGTGCCTGTCTCTGCTTAGCCCATGGCCATGGCCATTCCCACCCTGGCCAGCCCCTGTGCACAGCCTGCAAACAAAACCTCTCAGCCTGAGAAGGCCCGCCTGGTCTTAGAATGGCGGGAAGGAGCCTCTGAGGAGGTATGGGGCTTGACACACACAGGACAGAGCTCTAGGGGGGGAGGGCAGCCTGCCCTGACCCACTCCTTTTCTCCAGCTGGCAGCTGATGGCACAGTCATGAACACCTTTGCCCACAAGTGCCAGCTGCCTGAGGACGTGGACCCCACATCGGTGACCTCGGCCCTGAGGGAAGATGGCAGCCTCACGATCCGTGCACGGCGCCACCCGCACACAGAGCACGTCCAGCAGACCTTCCGGACAGAGATAAAAATCTGAAGGCCCCCCCCACCACCTTTGGCCCCCCAGCCCTCACTGACTGCCTACTAGCCTCCCAGACAAATCTTCCTACCCTTTCCACGACAGCCCCCAGACATCTCAGCCCAGCTTCCAGAACCTGACACCCCCCCCCCCCAGGCCCCAGGTGGGTCATCCCTCTCTAATTAGAGCCTTCTGGTCTGCCCGGGGCAGGCCTGGGACCCCTTGCCTCATCCATGGCCCCCAGGTCCCAGTTATGGCCTCCTTCATTTAATCCAGAATAGAAGAGTTGTGGTGGGGAGAGAGGGATCCCAGAGAAGCCACTTTGGGGGAGGGGAATTGGGTCAGGCAAGACCTCTGGGCAAAAAATCTGCAGGACAGACAGACAGACAAATCCTTTGATCTATGGAGTTTCTGTAGAGCAGGGGCAGGGGCCCTAGGACCTGGGACTCCTTGGCCAAGGGGAGGAGAGAGGCAGTGGGGAGATCATTGAAGTGCCCATCTCAAGTGGCACTGCCTGAGGGCATAGGGAAGCCAGACCAGACAGCCGTGAAGGTGAACCTCCCCCCTGCTGCTCTCCAAGCCCCAAACCAGCTGGCAGGCTGCCTGCCCACCCTGATGCCCCCAAGCCCTTGGGGCCTATTCCCTAGCCAGCCAGCTGTGCCAAGGCAGGGCCATGTAGTGTCTGTATATAGATGGGGTTTTTCCAATACAGCTGGTTCGTGCTAAACTGTGTGTAACTCCTGCTGTGTGTTACCTACTGGTGCCTCCAGGGGAGACTGGGGTGAGGGGTGGGGCTGGTCTCTCTCCTTCCCCTCAAATACCTGGGGTACCTGGGGCTGCTTGCATTGCAGGCAAGATGACCAGACAAAAGGATCCTTAAAGTATGAACTTACAGACTTGGTGTGTGTATAACACATGCACATGCACATATATCCCTATCATTGTCTGCAGATACCAAGCAATGTTGGTTGGCTGAGGCCAAATTCAGATCATTCTAAAATCAGCTTTACAATCTCCATTTTATCAATGCGGAAATCAAGTCTCTGAGTAGTGGAGCATCCGGCTTCCACACTGAAGGCTGGATTTGAACCCAGGTCATCAGAAGCTGCTCTCCACGCATGTGCACTGGGGAGTATTTCCCCTTACTCTGTCTCTCTCCGCCGGTGCACCCTGCCCCACGTCTTCCTGCTGGGTGACAGAGGTGTGTGTGAGGGTATCATAGGAAGTGCCCATAACCAGTTCCCTCCCAGTCCTTGATCTAAGACAGGGACCACAGGGACCTCCATTAGCCTTAACCTCAGGAACCCGGGCTGCTCCCAGTGACCCTGGCCCAGTTTCCCATCTACAGAAGAAAGGGGAATGTGGGAGGTTAGGTAGGTCCCTGGGGCAAGGAGTAGGGCCACCCTCTGCCCTCCATGCCTCTTAGGTCAGGGTCCTATATTGGTAGCCCCTCACCCTGCCATTTTGGGGCCTTTGGAGGAAGTGGGGCAAGCATGGGAGGGTCCTGGCACTGTACCCTGTGAACACAATAAATGACAGCATCACAGCTTTCTAGAGATCACCTGCCTGAAGTCCTCAAACTCAGGGTGGGGCTAGAGCAGCCAGATGGAGAACCCCAGGTAAGGAGACACACTTGTCATGAGTAGAGTGGCATGCTCAGATTTGGGGGTGCTGGTGGAAACTCAAGTTAAAGCTCAACACCTCACAAAAATGTGGGTGCCCCTTGGCTTTCTCATGATTTCCTGCACCCACCTGGGCAGTAATTCTGGGATTATTTCAGTGGAAAAACTTCTCTAACTTCCCTTTTTATTCATTCATTCATTCAAGAGATATTTATCTTCCTGCTACTATGTGCCAGGCACTATTGTAGACACTGAGACACTAAGGTGGACAAGCCCCTTCTTGAAGCCCACCTTGTACCAAATAGGGGGTCTGGGGCTCAGAGAGGCTGAATGACTCAGCCAGGGTCTCACAGCTCAGAGGCAGAGCCAGCTGGAAGCCAGCTGGGGAGCTGGCTGATTCAGGGCACCTGGGTGCTCTCTAGAGGGATC